CAAAAACATTATATTGAGCCAAAGAAGCCAGATACATAAGAATACATACCATATGCTTTTATTTATATAAAGTTCTAGAACAGGCAAAAGTAATCTAAAATGACATAAAACACATCGATGGTTGCCTGGGGTAGGGAATTCTTCAAATCATTCAATAGCTGAAAGGTTGCCCTGATGTTATTCTATTCTTGTCAACTCAGCTAGGACTAGAATCATGATTAGGATATACAGCCCCATAGGATAAGAATGTACATTTTCTTGCCCTTCAGTGTCTATGGATCAGCAGATTGACACTTTAAAAGTAAAAATAATAATAGCATCAATAAGAGCTAAAATTTATATTGCACTTAATAGTCTACCTGACATTGTAATGCTTTACACATATCCTCCCATTTATTCACTGCAAAAGACTTTATGGGTAAGTATTATTATCTTTGTTTTATAGATGAGAAAACTGAGGCACAGAAAAGTTAAGTAATTTACCCAAAGTCACACAGCTATTAAATAGCAGAGCTGGCCTCAGAGTCTGTACTCATAACCATGATCTGAATCAGTGCTATAAACATGTTCTGTCTACATACAAAACAAAGGTTACAACAAAAGGTTGATTTGGTAAGTTCAATGAAAAGTTGCTTCTTGTTAGAATTAACAACATAATTGGCCAATTTTGGGAAAAATCTATTAAGTGGGGTTATCATCTTGTTATTTAAGGTTTGAGAAAAAATTTACGTCTGCTCTCCAAACAAAACAAAAAAGAAATAAAACAACAAACAAACACAAAACTGAGTCTGCAGAGAGGGAGGGCTTGTATTCTCTGGATTATTGGATTCATACATTGTAAGCCCCTTGCTTAACCAGGCTTGTGTAAATGGGATCGGTTCCTTGATCTGCGTGAAGGGAAATTTTCAGCCTGTCACTAAGAGCCAAATCCTTCTTTCTGCTCTCCTGCTCCTAAAGATATTTATAATTTGTTTGTGATTTATTGAAATTTTCCTGGCTGTGGGAGAACTGCATCTTTTCAATTCACCTCATTGTCCACTCCATTCTATTTAGGAAACTTTGTCTTCTTAGAAGATGTTTCTCTGAGAGCAAATTCTCATCTGAAGTTTATGAAATAGCAGGTTCAATACAGCCACAGTTCCTTCTGCCGTTTTGATCATTAAGGTATTTAGTGGACCCAGCGGGTGGTTCTGTGTGTACAAAAATGGCCACCAATCCCTCATGCACTTGCTTCTGTGTGATAACTTTCGTGATGAACTTTGGTTAAACCTGTGGTTTTAGGAAACTGACCTCTGCTCTCACTCTGAGACCCTGCCTCCCTCTTATAAGGACCTTTGTGGTTACATTGGGCCCACCCACATAAATTGAAGAAAATCTCCCCATCTCAAGACCTTAACTTAATCATACCTGCAAACCCATTTTGTCAAGTAAGGTAACTTTCCCCATTTACAGATATCGGGGATTAGAATGTGGACATCTCTGGGGGTCCGTTACTGAGCAGAGGTCAGAGTGATGTGAATACTAGCTTTGAAGATGGAAGCCAAAGAATATGGGCAGTCTGTAGAAGCTTAAAAAGTCCCGGAACTAATTAGGAAACTAATTAGCTTCAAAAATTAGTGGTGCTAAAAGATATTTTCTAATCAAACTGAAATATTTTTCTGTCATGTTATTAACATTTAAAAACAGCATAGGAACCAAAATAACAACTGTGCTCTGATGAATCCACAGAACAACACGGGTTCAAATCCCCAGAGCTTTCTTGATCCGTGCATTCTCTGTGCTTGATGCAGAGAATCCACTGGGTTTTGAAATCTTAGTGCTAATGACTGGCACATTTCTGGAATATTGTGCCCACCAAAGAAATCAAGTAAAACTAATCCTCTGGATAAAGATGCCAAATCCAAATTCCAACTCTATCTCTCTACTAAGATCTGACAGTTCTGAGAGCTTGCAAGAGTTGTTAATGTCCTTTCTCATGGCCAGTTTCCACACAGCATCGTATAAGAACATTGCATCATCATCCCAATTAAATTTGTGACCTGCTGTCAGCATCAGTCAGCACAGAAAACGGGCCTTTCTACGGAAATTTTAAGAGAGAGGTGCTTTCCCCCAAAGAAAACTTCTTCATTCTCTTCGTCTCCATACTGGCGTGCAGAGTGTGCGGGGAAAGATGAGCGAAGAGGAAGGTGAGATGACAGACACTAGGTGGTGACTTGTAAGGCATGTGATTTCCACCCTAAGGACGCTAGGAAGAACTGAAGAAATTTAGGTAGGTGAGGAGGGGAGGGCAAGGGAGAAGTCAAGGGTTATTATTGGGTATTTTGGCTTGGGGACACTGGATGGATGGCAGCTCCATTTACAGAGATGGGAAACCAAGGAAGAAGAGCAGGGTTTGAGGGTAAGTTGCAGGTCAAGTTGGAATTGCTTATGGGACATCCAAGTGGAGATGGCAAACAGGCATTTGGCTACATGGGTCTGAGGCTCAGGAGAGAGGTTTGGGTTTGCAATATGGGTGTATGACTCCTCAGTGTAAGGCGGGTAATTGAGAGCACTAATAGATAGATGTACAGAGTTAGAAGAGAAGATGGCATAAGATAGAGACGTGAGGAGCACCAACATTCAGAGGACAGGCAGAGGAAAAGCCTGCAAAGGAGACTAAGATAATGGTCTGAGAGGTAATCAGAAAATCAGCAAGTTTACATATTAAAAAATTTGTACCCATTCCTTGGGTGCTGTTATTGGAAACACATTTATTTTTTTATTTTTTAAATTTTATTTATTTTTTTTGATGAGGAAGATTATCCCTTAGCAAACATCTGTGCCACTCTTCCTCTATTTTTTGTATGTGGGACGCCACCACAGCACGGCTTAATGATCGTGCATAGGTCCACGTCCAGGATCCCAACCCCGAAACCCAGTCGGCTGAAGGCAGCTGGCAAACTTAACCACTATGCCCGGTGGCGGGCCCCTGGAAACCAATTTAATCAGAATTAAATGTGACTTGAAAATTGTTTCCTTATATATAAACGGGGCCAATAATTCTTTACTTGCATCACAGGGTTAGAAGGTTAGGATGAAAAAAAGTATTTGCAAACATTTTGTCAAGTGTTACACCAGTGGTTCTCAAACTCTAGTGTGCATAAAATCATTAGGAGGACTTGTTCAAACACAGATTGCTGTGCTTCTGATTCAGTAGAGGGGCCTGGGTCCCCAGAATTTGAATTTTGCATAAATTCTCAGTTGATGCTGATGTTGCCATTTGAGACCACCCTTTGAGAACTACTGTGTAACACAAATGTAAAGAATTATGCTTTTGATTTTACAGAAAAATCCACTGAGTTTTCCTCTGATGTTGTGTCTGTTTCATCCCCTAATCTTGTTTCATTCCTGTATCTTCCATCGACAGATGTTGTTGAAACATCTTGACCCTGCTTCTTACCTAGCAATATCCGTTTACGTACGTGAGAGATCAGCTTAGTGCAGTATTTTCTTGATTGTTTACATTAATGAGCAACAGTTTGAGGTTAGCTCGATTAAGAAGGATGGGAAAAATACATGGTATTTCTCGTGGGTAGGAGGAGATAAGAAGGCACTCTTTGGAGTAAGAGGTGGGATTTTTTTTTTTCCGAAGTCAGATGTAGAATGCTACTTACTACCTACTTTCAAAAATCCCATTAGAGAACTTGTAATTCGATCCAGAGGGAGCAGCATGAGAGTCAGGTAAGAGGAAAAATTGACCTCATTCCTCAGTCCTTTCCTAAATCCTGAGAAATGTGTGTACCTCAACGCTCCCTTTTTCAATCCCACAAAACAGGGAATCAGGAAAACGCATTAGCACCCTAGTACAGACTAGGAACCAGAGCGGGAGGAGGCTCAGTCCCGCCAAGACAGAAGGAAACTGGGGGAGGGGAGAGAAAACTTCCCCCGGTCGGAGAATCTGCAGGGCCGTGGGAAGAGGAGGGAAGAGGGGGAACGGACCTCAGGCGTCAGCCAGACCCCTCGGCTCCGGGCGCGTGGGGAAGCGAGGGAGGGGGAAAGGCTGTTCCAGGAGCTCCCGCCGCTGTTTGGAGCGCAGATCTGGAGAGCTGAGCCTTCTGCTCCCTTCTCGCTCCTGGAGGCCGTTGTCCACGTTTAGCCGGGATGAAGACGGGGCGCTGGGCCGAGCCGCCGCTTCCCCACCGCTGACCCCGCTGCGGCCCCGCCGGGCGGGCCAAGTGGCCCTCGGGGACGCTGAAGTTACTCTGCGGAGGGGCGGGGCCGCCCAGCTCCTCTCCAATCGCCGCGGCCGCCCCGGTATTTGCATATATTATGCTAACGAGACCTCCCGCCGCGGGGGTCTCCCGGCCGGCCCGCGGGCCCCGCGAAGGTGGATCCCGAGGATCGGGGGCGGCTTGTGCCGGGCGGGCGGGCGCTGGCAGGGGGCGCGCTGCAGCGCGAGCCGCGGCGGAGCGGCGCCGGGAGGGGAGCGCGGGGAGGGCCGTGGCGCCCGGAGCGCGCGCGCTCACACACTCGCACTCGCACACTCACACACGAGCATCCCGAGGGTATTTAAGGCTCGCACGCGCGGGGCTGCGGAGAGACTCCGGGCAGCCGCGGATCGCGTTTGCTCCCTGGGTTCTTTCTCGTCCGGCCTCCTGTCCCCGTGGCCACCGCGTTGGCGCTGCGCCCTCGCGGTCTCTCCACCTTTTTGCCTGGAACTGTCTCCAGGGGGGGAACAGGTCGGCGTGCGGAAAAGCCCTGAATAGGTAGAAATAGGCAAACTCACCGAGCCGCAACAGGTCCGGGGCTCGGTGGCGAGCGAGCGGCCGCCCCTCCAGCGCCTCGCCCGCTGTCCCCTGGACCCTGCGCGGCCGCTCTCGGGGACCTCGGAAGGAGTGTCCGTCCTCAGAGGGGCCAGGAGGGCATCCGGGGGGGGGGGGTTCTTTGGGGTTTTTTACCGTACTGTCACCAGTCCCTGGACCGAGGGTGCTTGTCACTCCCAGCTGGGAGGGAAAAGAAAGGAGGATGGTCCACGGCTGCGGGTCTCCGCGCTGAGGAGAGCGGGGTCCGGCTCCGCGCCCCGGCTCCCACTCCGCCAACTAGTTGTGCAGCCACTGGCACTGAACTTTGGAGGAACCGGCTCTTTTCTCTCCTTTTAAGATTATTGGAAGTGGTAGAGGGTGGGCGGCGAAGCCGAGGAGCCGACCGCCACGATGCTGGTGAAGAAGCATGCAGGGAAAGGAGGGGGCCGGGAGCTGGGCACCGAGGACCCGAGCCCCGCCGGGCAGCGCTGTGCCCGGACCGTGCCCGTGTGCACGGCCGTGGCGGCCCTCCTGTCAGTGGTGGCCGTGATGTCTTGTCTGTACCTGGGGGTGAAAACCAACGACCTCCAGGCGAGGATCGCCGCTCTGGAATCAGCCAAAGGGGACCCTTCCATCCGTCTGCTGCCTGATTGCCTGGATCAGCTCAAAGCAGTGGTGCAAGAGAAAGTGGAGCGACTTCTGGCCCAGGTGTGAAAGACTGGGGTGTTTTGCACGTGGCTAACATCTTGCACAGACGTGATTCTGTGTACACGAGCAGCCTCTACCCTTACTGTATGCATCCTTGGTGTGGCTGTGTGTGCATACGCTAGGCGACCGTCTATGCTGGCTGCACCGTATATTGTATATGCACATCCTTTGATGTCACCCTCTCGGTCTCTATCATCTCCCTCACTCTTCTTAATGTTTGTATGCTAAACATATATGGAGGTCTAAAAGGGGGAAGGGTGGCCAGAAGGCAGGGTTGCATTTCATCTCTTTTCAGTTTTCTGGAGTGCATGTGACTCTTTTCCAATTTTGTGGAGAATATTCCTTGTAAAGACAGCATCTGTTATATCCTTCTTATGTTATGAGAAGGTTAGGGTCATAGGTGTCATTAATATACAAACGGCAATCACTCTTAAAAGTGAAATAACCCTGTATATGATTTTAAATGAATCACTTCATACATTGAATGTTTTCATATTAAATGTTTAAAAAGAAAAAAATAGTAGCTTTATTTTTTGTAAAGGATGCAGTGCTAGGGGTGTTTATGAATGCAGAGCCATCGGAGTTGAGAGTTGAAAGGAATCTACGTTATGTTTATCAAAACCAGGGGTGGCTTTAGATCAGAGTTAGGGGGTGTTCTGGAACTTGCTTTTCCAACAGAGAGGCTATTTGGCAGTAGTTGCTGCACAACATGATAAGCAGTGGACCTTCGTGTATGAAATACTGGCTGTTTTAAACCCAGAGCTTACCTAGAACTGCAGCCTGTTAATGCCAGGGTTTTGCATTGACTGCATATGCTGAGCTGAGGGAGAGGGTGGTGTTGGTTGAAGAATGGAGAAAGGTATTATACAAGTCCAGCAGTCCTGAAACCATGTCAATGGTCATTTTCTTTCTTTAGGGCTTGGGTACTGTTACCTTTTGACTGAAGTCCAAGTACACGTGTAGACGTTAGTTATGCAGGCTATGAAATGCTGGAAAATCAAGCATATGGCCAGAGAGTCCCTAAAGAATCCATTTCTCTACAAGGCTACTGATGGTTGTTAATACTTCTTTTTCTACAGAAATCCTATGAACATATGGCTAAAATAAGAATCGCAAGAGAAGCACCTTCCGAGTGCAACTGCCCAGCAGGTAAAATGGAACTTATTTAACAAGATTTCCTCTGTAACAGAGCGTTGTAAAACAAAGGTCCTGTGTCTGTCAAGTCTACCTGTAGTAACAGTAAAGAAAGAACGCAGACCCAACTTACTTTAATAAAATCAACATGTCTCAGTCAAAAGAATGGCAAATAAACCCCAATATTATTTTAAGCAGCATACCAAGGTCTGTTATGGGAAAGCAAAGGAGGTAGAGATAATCACCAAGACAAATACAGGCAAGATGCTGCAGAAAGACAAAGTTCTTAGATTGAAAAATATTCTTCAATTTTGTTCAATGTCTATGGTGAAAAGGACTGCAGAACACGTTAAATTCTGGCTTCCCTGGTGGCTAAATTGCATCAGTTCAGGTTTCCATTTGTTCCCTTTGACATGCAATTATGTTAGTAAACCACCTTAACTTCCTCACCTGCTTTTATTCTTGTCTATCAAAAAGCTTCTCTCTCCTCTTCTGTAACTGAAGATGAGGACTGAGAGGAAATTCTTTATCTTGGGCTTCTCATTACAAACTGTTGCATTCTCAGTGACTCCTTAGGAATGGTTCTTATATGTTTAGCATTTTTCTGTGTAGCTTAAGGGAACTGTATTATGACAGCATATTAGTAGAAAGATGGAGAAGAGAGACGTCAATGAATAAAACCCCTGGGTAATCATTAAATCTTCATCCACAGACCTCTGATGCTTGGTAGTCAGTCATCTATATAGACCTAACGATTTAGAGGCCCTTGGAATATGTCCATTGGAAAATATCTAGTGGATTCAACTGGTATAAGCCATGAAAAACTCCCATGAGTCTTGAGATTTTTTATTTCAGATAAATGTAGTTAATGCATTTATGAACATTTTAGTTTCTTTTATCTTATGGAAAAGTGAGTCTTTTACATTTGCTTTAATGTTCAGGAATGTGATACTTAAATACTTATATAAGGAAAGGCTAGTTCCTGTATTTTTTCATATTCTGAGGTTTTTTTTCCTCATGGTAACTTGTTTTGACACAGCTAAACCGGGCACCATGTTTAGAAATTTCAAATGTCAACTCCTGGCTCCATAAAAATTTTATTATTTATGATCTGCTACATGGTTGACCATAATGGAGCTATATATTTTTTAAACAAAGCCCTTTCAATTGAGAAGATGTATACATTAGGTAACAGGACAACAAAGAGTTAATGTTTGACATTGTAGATTTCATTCTTAGTTGTTTTAAGTTGGGAAAGACCTCAGAAGCCAGAAATTCAAGGAAGGCACTTTTCTAGTGCAGGAATTAGCTGGAAACAACCTCATCAGCCTGTGAGGATTATTTAAATTCCCGAGACAGTTGGTACAGGACTGATCATACCACTTAGAGTCTAGCGTTTTCTGTCTACAGTACTCTTGCTAGCTGTGTGAAAAATAACTAGTGTTTAATAGGATTCTCAGTGAACTTGGTAAAAAGTAGGAAAGTGACAACCACAGCACTGAGTTCTGTTTTTTGTGGATATAACTGCTTCGTCATCTTTGATGTAAGCTAGTTGTTGAGGTCTAACTTGTCATCTGGAAGAAAGCCATTAAATTTATATTTACCATATATTATCTTGGAAGATCATTTTGAACCATTTTTCTTCTTAACATACTAATTTTATAATAAAGGGTGATTTCACTATAATAACATACATAAATAATAAATGGTGATTCCCTCGGCTTTTTCTTTGGCTCTCACCAAAGAAATGGCTGCTTTACTTTCTTGCCACCACTAGAGCTCCACATTACATCAGTTTTCACAGGTTCCTTGAGAGGTAAACATTTGAAGGTGTACATTCCAATACACAGAATCAAACAGGTTTCTTGCTGACAAATCACTGTTATGGAAACACTCTCTTCTGCTTGTGGAATAATTAGACATCATCAAAATAAAAGCATTATGTTGAAAATAGTATCCCAGGGGAAAACGAGTTATTTTGAATTACGGTCAGCGAGGTATTGTCTTAGGGAATGCCTAAGGCCAAGAGGATTAGCCAGGAGATACAGCTGGTCCCACCTGGTTTGGCTCTCACCTTGGTTTGCAGTGATGAAGAGTTGTCACCCAGACATCTGGTGTAGGGCAGAATGAGACAAGTCTGTGACCTCAGCTCAGTTCCTGTGGACAGATACCCACCCTTGAAGCTGACACTCTTGTTGACAGTCTCCGTCAGAGAGCCAAGGACTGATAGCAAAGGATTAATGCTCTGTTGTTTGTGCTCACTCTAATTGCTTTGGATGGAACTCAGTCCCAGTGAGGTTTATCCAGATAGGACACTAGGAAATCATAGAATTTATAGATTTTTTTTTTCTTTTTAAATGTAGGAGGGAAGTTTTGTGGGAGAGGGATGAGAAAGACTGTTCTTGAATGGTTTCTGATTGTAGGGGAAGCACTCTCATTTAATCTTCACAACAACCCTGAGAGTTAAGTATTGGTAATATCATTGTACAGATGAAGAAACTGGGCTCAGAGAAGGTGACTAACTTAACATAGTAAAGGCAAGGTTGGGATTCATGCCCTCATCTGACAGAATCCAAAGCCCCAAGTCTCATGAGGAATAGAGAGTGAGTATAGCTTTTGGAGCTGGACGGTTCTGGGTTGGAATCCTGGGTCTGCTACTAAATAACTATGTGACCTTGGTCAAACTAATCAACTTCTTTATGTTCCAGTTTCCTCATCTGCAAAAAAATGGCTAATCCTGACTTCCTCATAGGTTGATAATTGACCTAAAGTCTGGCATATTAGATGATAGCAGTTACTGTTCTTCTAAATATATTATGTGCTGCTTAACTCTCATCTGGTCCATGGGGACACATGATGTAAGTGGGAGAACTGAGAGCTGGAGATGTATAACTCTCTTGAAACCCAATGGCTAGTTGATGGCAGGTTTTGGACTAGAATACTATGCTTAATTAAACAAATATATCTGTAGATATTCTTGTAGACAATCAGATGAGTCACTCTCTCTTGGTGCTACATCAATGAAGACTGGTTCTTTACAGATATTTATATTAGTCTACTAAATTGTTTTTATCAAAATTTCGGGAAAAACTTTTGACCTTGTAGGTAAACCATGATTGAAATAGATAGAACCTGGGCTTCAAAGAGCGTGGGGACATTAAAGAATGTCTTTACAGTTTTCATACCGTATCTTTACAAAAAGAAGAACTTTATCTGACTCATTTTCAAGCTTATTTTTAAATCGCTTTATTGAAGTATAATTTATAATATTTACCCATTTAAGTGTATGATTTAAAGATTTTAAAATATATAGAGTTGGGCAACCATTACCACAATCTGATTTTAGATCATCTTTGTCACCTCTGAAAATTCACATGTACTTTTTTCATGTGCTCAGGAGAAGCTCTATTTTTTGAATATTTACTTTAAAGAAACTCCAAAATAAAACTTAAAAAAACCATACAAATTGCAGCTCTGTATAGCAGAATATTTGATTTAGCAGTGGCTGAACCATGGAAACTCAGCTGGCTTCTGTGGCTTGGCCTCTGTAAAACTTGACTCTCATAGGAGAGAATAAATTGGCTCTTTGCTATGGCTGTAGAATTCTGTTTTGGGTTCTGTTCTTGGAGTCCTACATAAAGTATATATAAACCCAGCATATTTATGAGAGGGTTTCTGTGTTCCAACAGATAAAGAACACTGGGAGCCAGGCAGACAACCAAAAGATGATTAGATCACAAAGGTTTTTGTACCTTACTCATCAGCAGTGTTTCCTGCTGAGGGATTAGATATAAGAACCTCTGTGGTGTAATGGGCAGAGAATGTGAATGGGCAATAAAGAAGCCGGCGTTCTAATCCTGGCTTTGTTATTAACACGTTATACAATATTGGGCAAGTCATTTCCAAGATATACTTTTACAGACTCTATTTTCATTATCCCCAAAGTAGGAGTGTTGGACTAGAATGATTTTGAAGGGCGTTTGTTGATTCTCTGGGTACAAAGCCTGCTGGGTGCCAAATATCATGCTAGGTGCTGGGAATGTGCTGATGAACTGGCGGACTTGGTGCTGCTCTCCTGGAGCCTACATTTCAGTGTGGAAGACAGACATTTATTTCAACATGAAGTTACAGGCATGACAAGTGCAACCAAGAAAAAGAGCAGTGTGCTTTGCAGCACGTGACCAAAATTTCTTCCGTGTTGTGAATACTAAGGATTGAAAAAAAAAGGGGAAATGCACACTAGGAGAAAACCACAGTATGAGAAGATCTGGCTTCTGATTACAAATAAAAGCTCTGGCAATGGATAAAAACCTGATTTGTATAGCCTCCCCTGGCTTGTGGCTTTCTGAGAATTTGTGGTCTGATGAAGGTACGCTGGTACCTGGTTTACCCACAGTGATCCCCAACTGAAACAAAAAGTGCCCTTAATATATAAAGAGTTGGGTAGATAGGGTGGTGATTTATTCTACATTTCTCCTGCGAACAGTGAGATTTGGGTTGAATAAGAGTTGAAACTTCCTGCCTGGTGGTACTGAACGGTACCACTGGACCCAGCTCTTCTGTGTTCACTGATAATGATGGAATGTAGCACAGCTGGTCACCAGCTCAGAGGGTTTAGCTAGATGAAAAAGATATACTACATAACTTCTAACGTCCCTATACCTCCTCCAGGTCTATGAAAATGATTGTGTACAAAATGAGAATAAATGTAGGCAAGTAAAAATATCCTGGATTCATAAATGTGAGTGATACAGCCTCTGGGGAGTGGCTTTGTGGCATTGTCTCAGTTCTGGGTGGAAATAAATGTTAACTGCAGCTTTAAGGTTCTCTATCCTCTCACGTCATATGAGAAGACATTTAAATTACCTTGTTACCATACATTTACTTTATCATATAAAGCTTGTATTTCCTACTAACACGGTTTTTCACTTATGCTGTCCGTTTTTCCTAATGAGCCATACAATGAGGGGAACGAATTCATGAGGTAAGGGCACAATCATGTGTAGATCTTCAGTTATGTAAGGTAAATAATATTGAGAACTGGTGTGTGGAAAGAAAGCAAATTAAAATGCTGTAAATGTTATTTAAATGAGAATAGCAGGCATTCCCCTCCTCCTGTAAGGCCACACAATACAATGTGATGTCTGAGTGCCTCAAAGCCTCCATGTTACATGGTCTCAGTCCTAATGAGTACAGCAGTCTGGGTGTAACACTTTAGTTGGTCCAGTAGTGACAGCTGGCAAAATGCCCTGTCACCCAAAGGACCAGGGACAAATTGCCTCTTGAAGCAGCCTTCTTGTTTGTTAGCTTTTCTTCTGTTTCTCTTTTCTAGAAGTTATTAAGAAGCGATTTCTCCTAATACTCTTTTCTCTTTCTTACCTTAGTAGTTCTGTGTTTCCATGAGCTGGGAATTATATAAGAGAAGGGCATAAATTCTGCACAAGAGTTAATCCTTTCCAGCTCATTTGAAGAATGTGTAGGTACAAGCAGCCTCTCAGGGCCATAATGACCTATTGTGCTTCTGATGGGTTTGTAGCTGTGCAAAATTGACTACATGGCATTTACAAAAACAGTATTCGCATGTCAAAATGAGGTCTAGGAATGGAGAAGGAGGGCATGCTCTCATCGACAAGATTAGGTAAATGGAGAACTGGTGGAGATCATGCCAGAATCAGGACTGTTTTACAGTCCAGGGGACATTTCCTGGTGCAGGGGGAACCTCGCTAAACACGTGTCAAAATAACATCAATCTATGTTATCTTGAGTGGAAACCATCCAAAACCTATTATGAAAAGTCTTTTTATTCCATCTTTCCACTTTATAAACAATACTTGGTGGTTTGTTGGAAGCTGGGAATGTGAAAATAACGGATGAGTCAGACCGGGCTGCAGGCTGGAGCCCAGTAAGCGACCGCTAAACATAGAAGCAGCCCCACCCGCCCTGATTGGCCAATATGAATGAAGTTCCAGGCAGTGGTTTAATGCACCATGATATTTAACACTTTTTTGTCAATTTTTGTTAAAAGTGACTGTGGCATACCCACGTACTGAATTCTTAGACATGCATAGTTACTGTTTCATTTGGGATGTGTTCAGTAACCTTGCAGTTAAAAAATATTTTAGGGGCTGGCCCGGTGATGTAGTGGTTGAGTTCACGCTCTTGGCTTTGGTGGCCCTGGGTTCGCCTGTTCAGATCCTGGGCGAGGACCAACGCACCACTCATCAAGCCATGCTGAGGCAGTGTCCCACATAGAGCAACTAGAAGGATGTACAACTATGACATTTAGCTATCTACTGGGATCTTGGGGAGAAAAAAGAAAAAAAGGAGGAATATTGGCAGCAGATGTTAGCTCAGGGCCAATCTTCCTCAAAAAATAAAATAAAATAAAAAAATATTTTAAAATCGACTCCTAAGAAGGAGGTATTGCAGAAGAATGGAAGGCAGAGGTAAGTGGAAATCACTTACAAATTAAAATGGAGCACTTTTCATTGGTATCATGTATTCCTTCAAATGACTATTCCGTAAGTCATTTAAATAAGATTCCCTGAAGAAATGTCACCAGATGCAGGCAGCTTCCCTTTGTGACCACAAGGAGGAGGAACTGAGCCGAAGAGTGGGACTGCCTCTGTTCTGTCAGCTCCTTTTCGACTAAAGTCCTAGCTGATTTCTCTCTCTTGACTTCTGTTTGCAATGGAAAAAATCAATGGAGGAAGCAAATAATTTCCTCCATCTGTGTTTGAAGCTGAGAATGTCCTATCAGCTTTAAGATATTTAAAACAATCTAGTAAATTTCACATTTATATTAGTGAAAGTTTAATTATTTAGTAGATAAATTCACAGATACGAACTTGAGGCTAGTATTCCAATAGCTAGAATAAATGAACTAAATGTGGTTGAATTTACCAGCTGGGAATTTTGTGCTTACAAGTAATTTCTTAGCATCAAGCATCATTTGAATCACTGTCATGCTTTTGACGTCATTTCAACTGGAGTCTCCATTTCAACTTCAGTTACCACATAATGTGATAGTTGAAATGCGTTATTTTTCTTATGTTGTGTTCCTTTGATTGCTTAGTCTGATTTGCCAGGAGTGTCAAAAACTGTGTCTATTCATTTGTATATTAATAATTTAGATTTTAGAAGCTCTAGGCTTCTGGATTATGTACACGAAGTTTTTATTCTTGTTTTTGAACTGTGGTCAGCACATATCTGAATACAGTTTTCACGTTTAGGCTAAGAGGCTGAGTAAATTGGATGGACTGTAGTCAGCTCCAGTTTGTACCTTATGGTAATACTGAGTCAGAATATGTCTGACTAGAAGTAGCCTGGTCATGGCAGGGGTAGAGTCTGTTTTCCTTTCTTTACCAAAGAGTTCACATGTCAGGAAGAGTAAAAAGGGGGAGGAGAAGCCACCCATGTCCCACAGTCTCTTGGAATCCTGTCTCTTGACCATCATACTTAGCAAGCTTGGTATCTTCAAGTTCCTATTATAAGGTCAATCTGGACGATGGTTGGAGAGTCAGAGGAATTCTCCATTATAGCTCTGTCTCCAGCATCCTCTTTTGCTCTTGTGGCAGCTAATGGGAGAGAAAAATCTCATAGGAGTCTCTCTTTCAAGTCTGTTACAGGGCCAGAATGGTGTTCTTACTTTTGATCCTTAAGATGATATGCCTGGAAAACTGACACAGTTCTTTCCCAGCATTCCTGTATCTTAGGTCGATTCAGGCAGCTGTTAAAGGCACGTTGTTTGTGTTACCCTTCTAGGAATTGTGAAGTTCCGGTTTGTGTCTCCAGGACTCCAGAATCCAGCCGGCATGTTTTAGATGTACGTGATATGATCATAAGATAAAACATTTCCATAGACCACACACAAAAACCAATCTTTTGACTTTAAAGTCACGCTAGAATTGCTGGCAAATTCTAGGGCTTTGCCATAGAATCTTGGGACACTAAAAATCGTTTTTTACTGAAAGAGTTAGGGCTCAAGGTCAGAGCAGATGAAGTTCGAATGGAAATAAGCTTCTAAAATAAATGGCTTTCTGAAGATGTTATCAACCTGGTTGGGGGTCAGGTGAGTTAAGGGGGTCAGGATCAGGTGACCCTTGGGGGCAGATCCTGATGCTGATGCTAAGTGGTCTCACGGTATAACTGCATCCTCTTCCCGAGGGAGTGGGCTGAGAGTCCATTCTACCAGTGTCCTTTATGAGCTCCATACCGGGGTTCTGGTGTGTATCTGGGTATCTGGGGCTTATTGTAGAGTTCTCTCTAGAAGGTTCTCTCTAAAAGTGCATGAGGATCATAATGAAGATCTGTCGACTTGGTTGAGGACTTTTATTGTGGTTTATCTCTTTACATACACTAATATTCTTATCCCCATGCCTTTTAAACATTTTCTCTGAGGACTTTGTGAGCCAAAACATATTAAAGCTAATGCAGATCTTGGAGATCAAGTAGCTCAGGTGTTTTCCAACATTTCTTAAAGAGGCTGAACCTTTTAAAAAAATGAAATCTTATGAGAAAACTCAGTGTATGGGATCAGATACGGTGTTAGCTACACACTGGTTGACTTCGGAGTTCAGAGGGGGCAGAGGCCAAAACCCCATATGCTCTTTCTTTCTCTTTCACGCCTCTGCCATGACGGCCCCTGAGGTATCTCCAAAGAACCTCAGGACTCCGTAGGATACTGTTAGAAAATGACTGAGGGGCCAGTTCCCAGTGTGATCCCAGCTCCTGTGTCCAGAGATGCCATGTATTGTCAACACAGTATACTCATTTCCAGAGTTCTGTAACTAGAAGCTTTACTAGGAATGAGGGAAGCAAAATTATTTATTAAAATGAATGGAATCCAGAAATGACTATTAATATAATATTGTTCTTTAATGGGTTGTAACAGTCCGGCAAAGGTGCTGTAGTCATCCAGTAGCACTGGAAAGTGAGGAGAATGCACTGTGCAGCTGAGCATGGTCCTATTCTTCAGGAAAGCGATGTCTCACAGAATCCTTTTTCTTAAAGTCACTTATTTTTCTTTTTGCTGGGAAAGATTCGCCCTGAGCTAACATCTGTTGCCAATCTTCCTCTCTCTTTTTTTCTCCTCCCCAAGTTTTAATAGTTGAGTATTCTAGTTTTAAGTCCCCCTAGTTCTTCTGTGTGAGCCACCGCCACAGCATGGCTACTGACAGACGAGTAGTGTGGTTCTGTGCCCTGGAACTGAACCCGGACCGCCAGAGCGGAGCATGCCGAACTTTAACCACTAGGCCATCAGGGCTAGCTCATTACTTATTTTTCCTCTTCAAGTCACAATATTGTCCTTGTTTTTTATGAGTTTTCTGTGTTTTTTCAAATTTCTTCCTTTATATTTTTACTTACTGTTTAATTCTAGATATTAATATGGGGTTTTATCACCAAGTTACAGCAATCCATTGCCTTTTTTATATATTTATTTAAAGCAATTGATTTTTTAACTAATAGTTAATACTTAGTTTGCAAAGTGATATATGAAAATAGCTACCCCCAAGTTATATTGTTTATAGAATACTTATATTGTGAAAAAGTTGTTATTAAAATGCTTCTATGATCTTTGAGACTTTCTTACTTGATCTGATTCTTATTTGTGTGAAACTGGTGATGCGTATGTATTGAAATTTAAATTGAGAGTGTGATGAGAATATATGAATTGTGCATCTGTGTTTAAATAATAATAGGAAAAATCTTCAGGAATTAACAATATTTTAGCCAATATTGAGTAATATGTATAGTACATTTCAGAGAGCAAGTGTAGATCTGGGTACAGCATACTGTAATAATACTGCAAAAGGGAATTTGAGAGACAGTACTCTGCCTGCCACGGAAATGAATGCCCACTGTTGTCAGCAGTGCTGTTTTCCGTATGAGTCGCTGGTTGTGGACAGTAGTTTGGCTGAGGGTGACACCTTCCTCAATTGTGTTATTAGATAGATAATAGAATGACTGATTCTATTGTTCTTTAATAGAACATCTAATAGAATGACTGCAGCTATAGAAGTTATTGAGCTTTGGTGAGCAATTTATAGTCTCAAACTGTGGACTTCCAGGAAGTCTGGAAGAGAAAAATAACTTTTCTTTTTTTAACTACTGTAGTTATTGTCTTTTGAGAGAAGACAATTATCGGTAAAGCGGCAAAGGTAGGAATGCTGACTGAGTACTGAAGGCTGGAAAGATCGTAAATGCCAGCCAGAGCTATTAGAAGCTGCAAAAGAGACATTTAACCAAACAGACTGTATCCCTTAGATTTACTTCCAAAACCCTATAGATATACTGACAACTTCCCAGGATCTTAAGCAGCCAACCTGACAGTGTGTCATAGGACTACTATACAGGTTATGCATCTGGAAGTTTTTAATAAAGAAAACTCTAGCATTGAGAAATTACACCGTAAAGAAACCAGGGCTCTTATGTTCTTGTCTATAGTTTCTTTCGATGCAAAGTTATTTAATGCTCTAAATTTTAGCCACTTCTGAGGATACTTTCCTGAATATTGGTTTGGTTCTGCAATCAAGTGCTGTGTGAGAAATGCTATGTGTTGATGGTAAAATTTATGTTACCATTTTTGGACTATTAAAAAAAGTTAATTATTTTTATGGCAAAAAATATCCTTGAATTGAGAGGTCTGAGGTGTATTTTCTGTTTTCTCTGTGTGAGCCCGTGACACCTTAGACTCAGAATGTATTTTATTCTTTTAAGCCTTCATCTGAGCAAAAAACCCTTGCTTCCAGTATCAATCCTCAAGAAGAAATCCTGGACAGAGGAATTTTATAATCATCACATTTATCCTCTATCTATGCATCTCATACATCATTTTTCTCACCATTTTCAATTTTTGACAAGGCTTCACTTTTGTTTAATTGTAGTCATATGCCGCTAACATTTTGAACATTCACACGGCTTTTGCAGTTATAGGATGTGATGAGATTAATCATGTTCATTGAACTCCTGAAAACCAAGAGTGAATGTAGCGAACACACCCGTAGACGGAGAAATGATGCTCTGTCAGGCTCTTGATGAGCAAACATTGTCCTAATTCGGTGTGTTATTGACGAACAGAGTGGATGGGATTGTCTTTGGGATGCAGCCATGTATTTACAAAACTACAAAAACAGAGATCTTCTCTACTCTTAAGTAAGAACTCCCATTCTAGTCAGGCCATTCTCTTTTCTGTCCTCCCTGCCCTTCTCCAGCACGAATGGAAACACTGTTTCCCCTCCATCCTACTGAGGACACTCTATCCGGCTTACTGTTCGCCTCTAATTTGATCAGTCAGGCGCTTCATCACCCTTAGGTCCTGAAAGCTCTGGCCTTTCCTGGGCAATAGCTATACTTATGATTAAATCCAGCAGCATAACTAAGAAAACATTACTGGTAAATATCAATACTTCTCCCAAATTTCAAAAAGTAACTAATTGTTTTCTCAAAAATTACTGTTAAAAGATAATTTTCAAAAAAGGTAAAATCGTGACTTTCATACAAATATAAAATGAACATGTGTTAAAGATTTTGCTTAGGGCCGGCCCCGTGGCTTAGTGGTTAAGTGCGTGTGCTCCGATGCTGGCAGCCCGGGTTCGGATCCCGGGCATGCACCGACGCACCGCTTCTCCGGCCATGCTGAGGCTGCGTCCCACATACAGCAACTAGAAGGATGTGCAACTATGACATACAACTATCTACTGGGGCTTTGGGGGAAAAATAAATTAAAAAAAAAAAAAAAAAGATTTTGCTTAATCACTAAAGAAGTCACTGGTAAGATGTTATAACCAGTTCAAATGAGAATTTAGACAGACACATTTATAGTTCCAGAATATTGAGATCATTGTATACACGGAGACACAACTGGACTTTTCCACAGTGAGGGAGGGAGGTTAGTTGCACTCAGTCGGAAAGAAGTTGCATGTCTATAGATAAGAGTTATTTTGCTTTGCTCTCGGTTATCTACAACTTACAGAGTTTAAAATAGCTTCCACAGCATCAGAATCAGATAAGCGGGAAGGTGTGTTCTAGACAATGCTTGGTTTTCCATGGAGCAAGTATTTTCCCGACATTACTAAAGCAACTACAGAGGAAAAAATTCTTTAGGTAAGCAGAATTTTTTTTTTGTTTTTGTTCTTCAGTGTAGTCATGGTTATTATTCTGTCTCTCCTTCCATGATCCTATCTTATGGGTTATGTGGTACTTAATTTTCTTATTGTTGCTAAAATTAGTTGTTTAAAGGACACTGCCTTTCAGTTTGGCTTTATCCACTTGATATGCTAGACCCATGGGGATAGTGCTGATTGCTATGCCTGTGTTACTGGTGTGATTTACATAGGTGGCCTTTAAAATCGTAACACTGACAATTTGTTTAAGGTAGAGGCCACTTTGGGAGATGCAGCTTCCTGTATTTCTATATCAATGAGTAGTTCCACTGACGTTAAAGAGTTGCTGACCTTGCCCTTGTGTTTTGGGATATTATGGCCAAGCCATTACATTATTTACATAGGCCACGTTCCCCTGATGTGAGCGTGTGGGTGCCTCTTTGTGCTATTATTTTGGCAATGCTGTCTTTGCTTTCAGATATCATATCTATGGTCTGGCTGTTCCTTGGACGCTTTCGTCCAGGGCCCATTATGTTCATTCATGCTTTAGACAAGGTGCCTTTAGTCCATCCTTCTAAGGTTGACTTGCCAGTTCCCCATCAGTTACCTCTCCTATCGGCCTCTGCCTTGTTTGATCTCTCTCTACCACTACCTGCCCAGAATGTTCACTTTACTAGCACCCCAAACAGCTCAGCCCTCACCTCCTCAGGTATATGGAT